CGGTAAAACAAAATCCGGCAAGTCCAGTTTAAAGAGTTTTAAAAAACGGCATAAGTGCCTGAATGAAATCGCTAAGAACAAACATATAAAACACCTTAAGTGATTCCATCACTGTCTATAAAGTGACACTGAAAGTATTCACGCATGACCTTGTTTATGACATGCGCTTCCAACGCCCAGATTTCCCTCTACTTAAAGTAATCAGAGTAGCAAAAACATTGCAATAAATGGATCAATCAGTTAATCAGTCTTTTTTATCGAGTTTAAGGGAACTGTGAATGGGATGGACCACAAAATGTTAACATCAGCTCGGCTCTCGTGCGAACGTCCTTATATCCTTTGCTTCAGTGACCAAGACGTTTGTTAAAGCGTCTGATCAGATCCAACGAGGCGACAGCAACAAGAACGTCGCGTAAAAATAAAGTAAATTTGCGTTCTTTCAGTCTTTATAGCGATTACTCGTACCCACTTACTTTGTCAAATGTAGGTGAATTTCAAGTGACCATATCCAATCTCGGAAAGAGAAACAAAATTTCGCCGTTGCTTGTTTACGTTCGCCATAAAACACGAAATTAGGCATTTTCACGTCCTAGTCGTGCAAAAACGGGAAAGAAATGTACAAACAAAAGAGTGATCCGCGGGCGAAGTTGTTGTTTTGCTTATTAAACCTATTGTTTTTTTTGTTTTTGTTTTTTTTTGACGCTCGCGTTGCCGTCTGCGTCGTTGGATCTTAGGGCTTGTTTACATGGAGTGGGGGACCCCGGTCTAGTGGGGTTGGTTTCTTTTGTTTTCACGCTCTGGGGGACACAAAACAAAAGAAACCTACCCCATTAGACCGGAGTCCCCCACTCCATGTAAACAGGGTCTTAAAGTCCCTATTGAAGCTAGGCGTGCATTATGGTCTCGGGTATTGGGCAATTAAGTTTGGTATCGCTTTCGCTCGAGCAACGACGACGGCGACGGCACCGAAAACGTCTTAATTAAAATGGGTTATTCCAAAGTGCTTGAAATGTTAAATTTAGTTGAATTTTTTGGGCCTTGAATTCTTAGGAAACGCACCCAAGTTTAGAAAGAGAAGAAAGCATTCTTTGTTTCGCATGTTAGTCGTGTTCTTCAGTGTAAGCGCTGTTTTTTCCTTATTAAAGCTATTAATTTTTCTGACGTTCTCGTTGCCGTCGTTGTTGCTAAAGCTCTCTCTCTCTCGCTCAAACCAGATGCAAACAGATCACTTCACAATGTCAAAAATATTTTTTTGGACAAAGATTAATATCTTTAAAGGTAGGGGCAGATGTAGCGAGGACTATTCCTAGTAATAAACGCGTATTTCTTTGAGCGCAGGCTAGTATCCGCGTGTAGCGGTAAACTGGGTAAACTCGCAAAAGTTAGATCTTTACGGAGTTACAAATTTTCAAACGTGGCATATCGCAGTTCAGTCATTTCGCAAACAATAGCGTGATGCATGGTTTAAATGGAATCGTCGAAAGTTTAAATTGCTTCCCCACCTTACAAGAAAAGTTGAGCATTGTTTTCTTCTGTCAATTCCCCAAGTTGACAGAAGTTGTTTCCATGTTTCTTGTATCGTTCTCAGTCGCAGATGCAGAAAATGGCCGCCAGGTTGTAAGGCGTCGTAAATCAAGAAAACGCTGTGTTAGCTAGCTACTTTCAAGTATTTTATTACCTTCAAAGATATCAATCCTAGGATTCTGTGGAATTTTTAAAAGTTATTTCTGACTCTAAGGGATCATTCGTTTTGTTTCGAAGTGACAATTTTAGTCACCCAGTTGCGCCAAAAACGCTTTGTCATTGGTACATTCATGCTTGAATGGGTTGTTTCAGTGTCGTTTATTTAAGCAATAGACCACACTTTCTATGGGTTTACCGGCGTGATAACCCACGCGGGATGTTGGGAGAACACGAGAAAAGCTTGTAAATCACGAGCCGAAGGCGAGTGATTTACAAGCTTTTCGAGTGTTCTCCCAACATCCCAAGTGGGTTATCACGCCGGTAAACCCATAGAAAGTGTGGTCTATTGCTTAATTATAAAATAACTTTTAGTAGAATGGAGTCTTTTAGGGAAAAAATATGCTTTCAGTGCCGTGATCAAGTCATGTCTTCTCTCTAAAGTCATCATAAGCCAATCATGACTCACGATTTAATGGCGCTGAACTTTCTCAAAACTCAGTTCAGCCAAACAACAAACAACAGCACTTCAAAACACGAGTTTTTGCGCTCATTACGATAACTTATGAACGCTGTTTTACAGGAAAAGTCAACACATATTCATGCGAACGTACAATGAAAGAATACGTTCATGGTTTGCTTACTACAGAAGTAGAAATTAATTGAACATCAGACTGTACGCAGCTGTATTTTGTTGAGTCGATCGGTAAAAATTTCGTGCTTACAGACGGAACTGGCAGCTATTGTAATGGAGGACTTCATTCGCTTTTTACAAGCCGCAGTGGTTTAAGATGTGTTTACTGGGCTTTATTATGATCAAGAAATGCTGCGGTAACGACGTGGCCGCATTTGCGAAGTTGTCGCATGTAACTTTATATGCACGTACAGCGACCGATGGAAATATGTCAGTGGTGAAGAAAGGTTTCTTTGCCGTAGCCACATATTGGCGCTAATATTTGTCGATTTGTGAAGTCAGGTGGTTTGAGGTAGGTTATGCCATCGATATCACCGAATAATTTGTGCAAATATTGGAAAAAACAGCCCAAAACTCTGACATCTTTCATCATCGTTGGCAGCTTGTTTACAACCTACAGCGGCCGATTTTGTACCATATCTTGATCAGAGATCTCTTTTTGTAACAATTTCTTTCATTAAGGAATTTAATTTTGACATAAAATAAATCAAGAATGCTAAAACTATCCGTTTTGTTGCTGGTTGGCACATGGTTAAGTTTTCCTAGAGACTTTCTACACCAGAAATTCACACAGTTGTTGTCTTTCTCTGCGATTTGGCATCGTCGTGAAATGTAAACTGCTTTCCAGCTTTGTACTTTATAACTTCTAAAGCTATGGCAGCCGCGAATTGTGACCCTCAGTAATAAAATGTGGAAACCAACGCTTTTAATATTAAGAAGGGCTAAGGTAAGTAACTTGTTCTGGTTTTTAGCCTTTCTAAAATCGTTGTTTGCAGATCAATAGCGGGTTTTGTTTATGGCTCGTGGTCCGGATGCCTTTTTCTATGGGTTTACCGGTATAATAAACCATAGGTTTTTGACCAATCAGATCACGCGTACTATCTCAGTTATTTTATAAATTCAAATAAACATCAGTCCAAAGCATTTGTAATCTGCTACCACAAATCAGATGAAACCGGGTCTGTGACGCACGTAAACAAAGCATACCTGGTGTGATTGATGTTTCGAGTGCTAAGTATTCAACACTACCAACACCGCGCCAATCAGAAGCTGCGTTCGTGGGCGAACGCAGTTTTTCTAAATCGTGGGGTTTGCGGGCAAGCGTTTCCTTCGCTCCCTTCCTCCTCCCCCCTCATTTCTTTTTTTTTTGTGCTCTCGTCTCGTCTCGCTTGCTATGCAGGCTACTACAAAAGTTTCATGTTGTTCTTCCAACAAAAAAATGTCTCCTTTGTTTTTTACCTCTAGCTCTAGATCTCTGTCGCCCTTTTTCTCGTTGAGCTTCGCTGGCCTGCCACCTACTTTCTCTTTTTCTCTGTCTTTCTATTGCTCTTCCAAATTTGTGGACATGACAATTAATCTAAGCTTAGTACTTTAGAAAACATTGATACAGATACAATTTCCGCTTTCCGTTTTCGTCTTCATTGACTCTTTAGTTGTCTCTGCTTCCCAAGACGAGGGTGGCTATGCGATTTTCCGTCAAAATAACTTCGATTTGCGTTTGGGTTGCCATACCTGTTGATTGAGTGATTTTACATTGGTTCTGTGGTGCGGACTGACTGACTGACTTTCTTACCCATGGTGCTCCGCTTCGCGCGCGAGAGCTCCGCTATGAAGCAGGCACTGCAGTAACTTCTTTGGATGACAACGAGTGAGTCAGAGGGTTCTAGAACATAATCTTTTGTGTTTTTCTTTAAGTTTTTTATTTCTGATTTTCGCTCAAGGCAAGTGGCAGAGTCGTCAGAGTTATCCAGTGCAAAACCTGTTCAAAGCGGTTGTGTTCACTAATAAGCCCGCGAAATCATACATCTGGAGTTGGAAACCTACAATCATCGCTGATGAAGAGCCAAGTGCGTAAAACTATTAACAGCAGTTCCTAGTGATTCTATGAAGGGAAAGCTCTAATTTTAAAGAGGGTACAAAAAATAAAATTCGTTGTTTCTTTGCCATGCACACATGCTGCGGGTCTGTCTTCTGGTTCACAACATTTGCTCCGGACATCGAATCTTGAGTCGATCGTTTGACCTGCTGGCATTGCCTGCATTATACGAGTTAACTCTGCTTTACACTTCTCTGCCCTGGTGTATTCTCTATTTTGGAATCCCCCATAATACACTCCGTTTTCCTCACGAACTTTGCATAAACTATCGTTTCAGATGCTCCAGGGAGGACTGTAAATTGCAATACAATAACTTCTGCAAAATTAGCGAGGCAAAAAGAGTGTATTGTGGGGCATTCCAAAATAGTCAAAAAAAGGTTCCAACGACGTGGCTTTGAGGGGAATTTCTGAGGGGTAACCCTTGCCTTCGTTGAACCATGATTTCCCCTAGTGGGACTAATAGACCTCCTTTATTGATGTAACTATGTTTATGCTGTGACATTTGTGACAGTATTCAGTAGCTCGTGGATAGACTTGGCCGGTGAGGTTTGGGAAAATATGGCGCTTATTTAATTATGGATACTTTTCTGAATAGATTTTATGTTAGCTAATTACAGCATCAGTGAATGACGTTGTCTTATGATGCAGGAGTCTTTGATCAAGAGAAGGTTTCTGAGTTTTACTGCATTATTTAGTTCTAGATTAGCTCCAGGTCTTAATTAACGTTGTCTTGTAATGCAGGTCCTTGATCATCAAAAAGTTCAGTTAGGATAAAGATGGCATTTACAGAGCACGAAGAAAAAGTCTCAGAATTCTATTCCCGTGTAGTGGATAACAACCATGACTGGAATGATGGATTTCTCACATTTGGATTGTGGAAGACGAAATCCGGTGATCCTATACCACACCCTTCGTGTTACGGAGCAGTGTATGATGAGCTTTTAGAAGGTACTATGATACAGGCTGATCACAGCGTGCTGGATGTTGCTTGTGGGCAGGGAGCTGGCATGTTACGAATCAAATCCCAGAATGGCTGCAACATCCAAGGTCTAGACATCAGCGCTGCAAACGTGGAAATAGCGAAGCGAAGACTGTGCGACACTGGAATTACTGTAACACGCGGTAGCGGAACGAAGATGCCCTATGATGAAAATTCTTTTGATTGTGTTATCTGTGTGGAAGGGGAACCTCACATGAATAGCAGAGAAGATTTCTTTCGAGAAGCATTTCGAGTTCTAAAGCCTGGAGGAAAATTGTTCATGGCTGACATTGTTACGCTTAAAGCACTTCCTGATCTGAGTTACCTTCAGCAGATCATTTTGAGGACCGCAGCGAAGTTATGGGTGATTCCTAGCACTAACTTGTCCTACGGAATCGATGATTACAAACAGAAATTAAAAGACATTGGGTTCAAGTTGACAAAGTTTGAATTCTTAGGCGACAGAGTATTACCAGGTTATTGTAATTTTAATCTTACGCTATCGGTTATGCGAGAACAAGCAAAAGTAAGAGGTCCGTTCGTCGGTTACGTGGGAGGTCCAATGATTGATATTATTGTTAAAATGGCTTTCTCTCACAAAATTATCGAATATGTCTTTGTTGAGGCCGAGAAAGAATTTATCAAATAACCAGTCGCAAAACCACAGGCACACCATCCTCTGTTTGTGTCTCGGACTGGATTCACTCAGAAAATTTAAAATGAACATTTCTGTGCTTGGATATCTTTGAGTCGTGGGAATTAGATTTCACGTTTGAAAAATGTTCTTTCTTACGCCTCAAAATCAACAAAACGAATAAATTTCAAAATAAGAAATAGAATACTCTAGGAAATCACAATACTACCGAGTCAGAGCGTTTTGTAGGAGCTGGTTCTTGAAATCAACCCACAACAATCCAACATATTTCAATATTTTTCATGTTAATTTGTACATATTTAAAGTAAAAAATAGAGGTTTGTGGGTTTGTATCTCGACATAATATGTTATAACAATATTTCACTTTACATTCTTAGTAAGACTGGACATTCCAGCTCTAGTTTATATACCTAATTATTTTATTTCTCTACAAAAACGCTTAGACAGATTTTAAAGCATCTTCAACTTTTTTCAAATTTTGAAATGTTGCGCTAAGTTTTATTCGCGCGAGACACTCTATCTAACCAAAGGTGCCCAAACGTATTGTGCGAGTTATGAGATCATGGATACTACGAATTGAACAAAGGAGTTTTGTTATGGAATAAACCGTAGCCAAAATATGCGATGATTTTTCAATAAATTAATGATCTTTGACTTGGAAAGTGCAAATAAAGTTTGAAAGAAAGTGTTATCGTGTTATAATGTTTATGTTAATGATTTAAAAAAGTTTTGATTAGTTTGTCTTGTTCCTTTGTGGTCTGTAGTTCACTGTCACACTAGTACCCAGGATCCCAATGACTTGTTCATATCTAAATAACAACTGAAAGAGTTTCATGGTGTAATCATTTAAGTATAGTTCAGTGTAATTTTGCAAATTAATTAGTATATATCAAATGTATCAGCAATAATATTACTCATCGAGTTTGTGAATGATGTAGGTCTCGTTTATTGTTTCTTCTTTCTTCTTCTTCTTTAATTTGTTCACGGCATGTATCCTCTGCTTAGTCCCTCGCAATACATCCGTCTGCCCTTTTTCAAATACACCTCGGCCTTTAACTTTGGTATTAGTTTTTCTCTGCCTCCCCTCTTCTCCCCCCTTTTTTTCTTCGTCTGCTACGCGGGTTAAATTTCAAGGTCTCTCAAAGAAAAGCTCGAAATACCTGTTCCTGGAACTCCATTATCAGAGTCTTGGGTACGACTGAGACTCTTATAAGGTAAATGAATTTTGATCAGTGGTGACCTTTCAAAAATAAGAAAATACATGGGACACCTAAGTGAAAATTTAAAGACACAGCACGTTGTTAAATATTGGACCAATTTTGATGAGAAGGTAAATGCCTTGGTTTTTCTTCAGTAAAAGGTGTCATAGCTACATAGGCGATAATAGGGCCATTTATACGACGAAAAATAAGACGCGTCTTAAATAAGACGCGACTTTCCGTATAAACGGCACATTTCGTCTAAAATAAGACGCGGCTTAGCTAAGACGCGTCTTATTAGATAAGACATGCTCCTATAAATGGTACAGTTCGCGTCTTATTTAAGACGCGTCTTATGTAAGAAGCGTCTTATTTTCCCTCGTATAAATGGCCCTAATGTCTCAGCCGCAGAGTTAAAAAAAGGATATCTATTATCATGACGCCATCGACTGTAGTGCCACAAATGATTTGTTTCGAATTCCATTCCAGCTTTAACTGAGCAAACGTTGGAAATGCAGAAATTGAAATGCTTTGAAAGTGAATTGTCATCACCATTGCTGGCGTTCAGTTTCTGAGCCTACATTTTTTTTACATTAAGGGGGGTATAGATCTGATCCAAGTTGTCCCTCGTCTTCAAGGTAAGTCAAAGTGCTAGATAAAAAAAATGTTCTATTTAACGGGGTTTCTTTTTGACGTTGCTCTTACAGAAAAAAATTTTAAGATTGAATTCAAATATCAGAAGTAACCAGCTGCATACCAGGTTGAGAAAACATGTCAATCATCTGTCCTGAATGCAGAGCACAAACATAATGAACCAACCCCAAATTGGCATCTGTCAATTTTAGTTTTTGAAAATAACAATAGAGAAAAAAACGTTGTTGAATTGGTAAATTCTAAGATGTAAGAAAGAGAGCAGAATTGTACAAAAGCTAAACTCATGACAAGTACCGACAAGGAAAGATGTTTTGCTCTGCTAGGAAAACTTACAAGCTGTAGCTTAAGTGAGGAGGAAAGGCTTATCCGTCTTCTCCAGATTTCCTCATATAAGCAAAAACTGGAAGGACTTTATCGAAAAGTACCGATTCAAAGAAAAAGTCAAGGCCCGCTCAAAATGCCGGTGAAAATGTTGATTCGAATTCTTCGAGAGCAAGAAGTTGGACAAACAAGGGAATATAATGTGAATGGGCTCATTTTTAAGGTTCACGTTTTTGAAGACACGGACCTTTGACGTCGGGAAATTTGTGTTCACAGAAATGGAGGAGGCAAAAATGAAGTATGTTATCTGGAGTGAAGCAGTCTATATCAAGATAAACAGTTTTTAATATTGATCAGACAATATTGAGAATCTATGTGCATAACATCACCATGTTTGTCAAACTACTATCAAGTTAAATGACTTCAATTCATTGAATAACATTTCCCTCAAATGTTTTTGGCAGTTCACGAGGGCGTTTCTTCAAAAATCATTGATTAAAAAGGGGAGACGTGCCAACTATCGCGGTCTGAAATAAACTTCTTCAGCCTCCGTTGACTATCTAAAATTGCTGGCATTTTTTTTCTAGCCGTTATTAAAACTTTTAACTCAAAGGATACTTGTAAGCAAGATCAGTGAATATTAAAGTAAATTGGTCTTGCTCAGTTAAATCCGGAATGCTGCAGATTTTGCCTTGACAGAATTATTAATAAGGGAAGGGGTATGATACAAGTCAAAAATACATTTTAAAACTCGTACCATTGAAATTAATTAAATAAATAAGGAAATATCAAGGTCTTGTAATGTGTGGCAGTGTGAAATTTTTAAGGGAAATATAAAAATGCTTTAATGCTGATCGTAAGCAAAAGAAATGTATGGAATGGTGAAATTTTCCAATTAAGTAGTTTAATGTATTGTTTAAAAAGATACAATATAATAGCGCAATTATGAAAGTGAATGTTACAGGAAAATAGTTAATGTTTGCCCGCTCCTTGGAGTAGTTGTATGATCTGTGACTTATGATTCCCTCGGCTGGCTCCTCATTTATTGTTTGCCTCTTTTTCAAAATATTAGTTTCTCAATATTTTTCAAGCCATGTAGAAGCAGACAATAAGTTAATAATGCCGAATTTTTACAAAACCAATATACACAGATTACTTGGTTTCGTTTGGTAATTATTTAAACGGTTGCCTTCTTGTTTGTACATCGATATCCTTTCCCTGTTAATTCTCAGCACTTTATTCCCCCGCCCCCCACTAAAAAATCTGGTCAAAACTGACCACACCGGCCTGACTTACTGACGCCTAAGAAGCGAAATGTTTTTTATCTCTCGTTTTTTTCTTCTTCTTCTTTCTTTTTTTACAGCCTATAAAGTGAAGTAGTTGAATTGAAATCACTAGAATCAATTCCAATTTTTCTGCCAGTTTACTATGAACTCCCTCAAGTTTTGATCTCGCGCTTCCCATTAGTCAGGCTACAGGCATTTTCTTTCACTGTTCGGGTGATATAAATGTGCGCATGCGTCAGGTACTTGCCAGAGCGCGGAGTTTTTCTGAGTGTGAGCTTTAGCTCTGAAATTGGTCTTGTTTTTCTTTGGATGCATGAATGTTTTGGGTTGCCTAGCCGTTGTGTTAAATCTTCAATCGGCGGGAAAATTAGTTCAGATACTTTGCTGACTTGAAAGGGGAAATGAAGCTTGCCCTTCCATCACCCCCTCTGTGCAATGTCGTGCAGCTGTTTGACCTACTTGTAAGAAATATTAAAAAAACTCAACTTTCGGTGGAGGGGTGGGGGTGGTGGGTGTGAATTGTTCCGTTCTCTGAAGTTACCCATTTAAGGACAATGTCTATAAATTGCCGACTGTTGGTTGTTTCCCCCACCCCCTTCCCCCCATCCTTAAACGCTCACGCTCTCCCCATTCTTCCTCAGTGATAAAGTCAAAGATGGCAGCCACGACAATGCAAGTACTATTTGGAATTGTTTGCCCAAAAAATCTTGCATTGCCAGCTACGCACCACTTTGTGTCCATATTTTGTTCACCTGACAGACTTTGTATTAATTTATACTCTTACAGTCCGACTGGAGATTTTAGTCACTGAAGCCACACGTAGCAGCTCCGCGGTATTGCCATTAGATACACGGGTTTGCCTGTTCAGAGACCCGACGGCTATGCCATGCTGAAGAGCACCAATAAGGGCGAAACAGCTGTCCATGGCTGCCACTGCCTGGGTGATATGGTTGTGGGCATGCGTAAGGTAATGGCCATACCGTGGCGTTCCCGTGGAGTTAACCGTGGAGTTGGTGCTTCTGTGCTAACATTGTTTCAATAAGAAACAGTTTCTTGCTTATTGCTTTGATTTATAAATCTCGATGCGTCAGACCGAATGCTTTGCATTTCCCTTTAGCAGAATAGTTGTTTACAAGGATCTTAAGAAAAGGCTTTGAGCAAAACACATAAACCGGAAGTGGACGTTTTGCTTTCTTTGGCAGTGGTTTGGCCCCAGTTTTCGGGCAAATCGTCGCTGTGAGATTAAAGTTGAAATTTGTTAGCGTCAACACATTTAAAAAGGCACATTGCCCCAGTTATGGTTGACGTGCATGGCTCAAAAAGGCCTTAATAAAACTCGAGATATGTGTAACGCATGGGCAAAGCTCAGGTTTTAAAAAACCGGCCGAGAGAGAAGAAAACGTGGAAAAGAAAGAAAACTAGGTTTGTCCAACAATTGAACGAGGCTCTAAAGTAGATATAAGCTTTTTAACTTTATGGACTCAGTCTATAAATGAGATTAAAGGAATGTTGCGAAATTTAAATACCTCTGCAAGCTACAAGATTGGTAGACGCGAGCAGTCTCTTTCGAGCCTCTTGTTTTTCTTTGCAAAGTTACTGCACGCGAAACCTAAGGAAGCGAGCCACGAGAAACGAGAGCCTAAGCCCGTAAGCTCGTCTCGTCTCTGTAGTAATAACGTCGTGGTTTGCAATTGCGCTGGATAAAATAAGAACTACACGGATTTTAAGAGAAAAGGCGGACTGCAAGTAGTCTACGAGATTGGCTCCCTGCCAGACTTTGGTCATAGACTGGAAACGAGGGAAGGAGCAAGCACTGGATCCCAGTTGGTTCAACATGGCGGCAAAATGGTCTGCCTTGACCCTCGAGGAGAGAATTGAGAAGGCAGAGAAACTGTTCGAAAGAAGCCAAAATTTACAAAAATCAATCGAGGGACTGTCAAAATTAAAGAGGAAAATATTAGCTGAAGTTAAGTTCCTAAAATCGGTTCGTATTATCATCAATCAGCCTACGTACAATTGTAGCTTCATAATTTTGTATGTTTGTTAAAAATGATTCTGCCGTAGAGAGCATCCTTGACTTCTTGACCCGTACATCTGAAGAACGTAAAGTGGTCTTGGTAGTGCTAGAGTGTAGTGTTATGAAACAATTCGCATGTTTTTTTTCCCCAGCTAAGCGTTGATGCAACTCCTTTGAAAGACTCGCACATGAAAAGCACAAACCTTCTATTTCTTGAAGCTGTGCTGGCAACAGCTGAAGAAGAGAAAGATGTGTGTGCTGTTTTCAAGCCTTTTTGGGATATCACACGGGAGTTGAACTATGTAGTGGATGTTGTTGCCGACAATGGATATTACTGGATTAAGGTTACAGCAAGAAATGCATCTGCACTTCATAGGACATGGCAAGGTAACAATCTGTACATTTTGTTTTAAATAAATTACAAAAGCCATCACAGGGTTTTCAATAAGATTTTAAGTAGGTGGCAAAAGCTTTGGAGTAGGTGGAGGAGGAAAAAAAACTTGTGGCAAAGGAGCAACTTGCCAGTGCCCAAAGGGCTAGTTACTGGAAAAATATTTACAAGAGTAGAGTCTTTGAACAGAACACAGACATCATTAAATTTTGGCTTTTTTATTCAGTGACTCTATTAAACTGGCGTAATTTGTAAAGAGAAGTAGGTGGAAAGTTCACGTGAAATAGGTGGCGATTTACCACACCACTGGCTCTTAATGAAAACCCTGCATCAAACATGCCATTTACCTTACCAAGTGGCTATTCATCCTGAGAAGAGGCAGGTTAGGGTTAAGCACTGACTCAAAATGGTAGGCTTCTATTTAGGGTTAGGGTTCTTGTTATGTAACTTCAAATCAAACTTAAATCAGTAGTGAATCCTCAGTGGTCTACCATGGGGTGGGGTGGGATGGGTACTCCCTATAATGGCCTATATGAGAAGGCTCCGACGGACCATTTCAGTTATATGAAAGGGTAGGGATTTTACTTGTTGACGTATACAAAAGGGTAGGGTAGCCCAGAGGGCTAACAGATAAATTTTATGGCTGTATAAAGTCAAGAAAACGTTGTATTTTTGTGATTGATTCCTATTTAAATGACAATGCATTTACAGCAGTTTTAAAAAGGGATGCACAGCTCTAAACAAGGTATGTGAAAGGGGTTCCATTTATCATTATAAAATAACTAAGATAGTATGTGTGCTCTGATTGGCTGAGAGGCGTGTTTGCTTGAGAGTATGTAAACATGGTTGTGACATCAAGATGTTTTGCTTTTCGCATGCTAATCATGCAAGCACGAATGTGAAAAAGGTTTTGAGTTGAAAACCTTGACAAGTTTACTTTATTCACCCATTTCCTCGTCGGCTGAAACTTGGAAAATCTCTAGAAACATGCTGTGTCGCTTGTGCTGACATTTTAAGTGAGAAAAAACACCACATTTTGGAAAGCATATTTTTGCAGAACAAGGACTGCTTACGCGTAAAAACTTCGTGTGCAAGACTTCGCGACTTGTAAGAATTTGTCTTTTAATCAGTGCTCTAAACAAGAGAGTTTTGCTTTTTTTCTCGGGAAAGTTATTTTATAACAGCAATAGAAAACTTTTTTCCTGTGTTTGCATATCCTGATTTAAACACTTGAGGGGTTAGGAGAATTCTCGACAGTTATGCAAACTCGAGACGAAGTCGAGGGTTTGCATAACTGTCTCGAATTCTCCCAACCCCTCTTGTGTTTATATCAGGCTATGCAAACATGGAAAACGTTTTCTATTGCTTAAATAGAAGGTATATGAAAGGGGCACCTTTTTTGTGAAAAGTGGTATATGAAAGGGTAAGCGGTTGGACCTCAGGGCGCAACCTCCCTGTATAAAAATTTGTTGACTACCCCCCCCCCGCCATCTGGGTGGTCTACAGTTTAGACTGCAGACCCATACTCTGAGTTGGAATCTCACTCCGTTACTCTAAATGTTTTTTTCATTTAAAATTGAAGAGACTTTTTTTATGAACATCTGTTGAGCAGAAATTTCAATGGCGGTAGAATACATTACTTCTGAAAATGGTATGAATTTAACTCATAAAATGTGGTCACAATTTTGCTTCTGTAGAAAGAATCCTGTATGATTAGGAAGTACAAGCTGGTGTATGGATCCGTACAAATAACCAGTGGGTTTACATTATGTATCAAGATCAACATGTCTCCCTCTGGCAAACCCTGGGGACATCAATGGGTCATGCAGGGGTTTGACAACTTACTGTAGTTCATACTGAGGTGGGGAATTTAACACAAAACAAAGTGCATCATTTTTCACGTTTCTAATACCATGATGAAAATCATAGGTTTCATTTGCATTAGTCACTGGTGATTGTTCCTGCCAAGTGAAGAGAGATGGCTAGCTGCATGAACCAGTGATCTTGTCTTTGATGTAAATTGAAAAAATTGATTTACGGTACATTGTATGCAGTTAGTTCACCAGAGGTGAAAATTGTTCTCCAAGCTTCTACCACTTTTAAATTTTTAAAAACAAAACTTGAGTCCTATGCTGAGCCCTTGGATTATTATGGTCAAATTCATTGTAAAGTTAGCTACAGTGTACGTAAATTATGAGAAAATGTGCTGATTATGTAATTATACTTACAGGTCATGGTGACTTTGGTGATAAAGACATAGTCTATCAAGCCAAGGTACTGTGTGTTGTGTGTGTAGAGAAGAATTTATCGTTAAAACCAGAGGCATCTTTGAATGGCAATGTTTTCTTCTTGGTGTTAAAGTGGTTGATTTTCAAAAGTAGGGGCAGGGCTTGAAAAAAGTCCCATCCGGTTATCCAGAAAAGATAGAAATCTAAATGTAAAGGTAGCTAAAAATTAATGTGTAGAAGGGGTTTTGATTTTTGTACGCTTCTACTGTATTTCAAAAGCATCAACCAGCAGTTATGGTAACTAGAAAAACCCAGTTTTAGTCAACTTTTTTTTTATTAATATTAGTGGTATATACACTTAATGTCAGATCCCGAGGGAAACAGTTAGTTTTGTTTTCCTGAGAGTCCTGATGTTTCCCTCGACTTCATCTTGGGAAACATCAGGACTTGAGGGAAAACAAAACTAACTGGTTTCCCAAGGGACCTGACATTAAGTGTTTTGTTATATTTGTTGTATTACAATTTGGATACATTAGATTTTAGTCAAGGCTACGTGACCAAGAATCAACCAATGGCAGTCCCTGTTTAGTTGAGTGAAAGTCTAGGAATATAACAATAGTAAATGTTCTCTGATCTTGGCAAAGTCTGGGTTGAAACAACCAATGTAATTCTGAGCATGGTTTCTGAAAGGCTGATTAGTGCTAATACAGGATTAAAATTTTGTTGCATTTTTCGATTAACCTTCCTCTGTATTGCTTAGAGTAACATTTTGTCTTATCATTACCGTATCTTGAAGTGAAGGCTCAACAGTATTTTGTAAGCTTGAGTTGCGTTTTCTTAGACAAGAAAACTTTGATTTAAATTTTGCTTAATCCTGGGTTAAACTTAACCATCTTTCAAGGAACCAGGTCCTGGCCCTATAAATCTTTTGCAGTTTTAGTGACTTACATGTGTAGTGGTTGTTGCCTGTATCACAGATGAATCTAAACTCTGGTTAAGTCCGTCTGCCAAACAGTGCTGAAATCCTTGTTCTGGGCCCCAGCTGTTTACCTGGATTCAAAAACTGTTAAATGTTTCTTTCAATATTTGTCCCCATTTTGCAATGCAAAGGGTTTTTAGCATAACAGACAATATGGTCTTACCTTCAATCCAAAGTGCTGCTAGTATGTTGCTAATGTGTCGATTAACTGTTGATCAGTCATCTGTTAGTTTAGTATTGTTGTTCTTCACAATTACCCATTGTTTTGGCTGGACACAAATGAGCCATGACCAAGCTAAAATTTGTTTGGCCGGTCAACATGACCAACAACAGTCCAAAAACTACTATAGTTTGTGCCCTGCTGTTACTACCACTGTATCCTTGCTTATTAATTTTCCTACTTTATTGGACAGGAATTAAAAGCAGTGAGTAAGCAACATCTATTGAACTATTCAGCACCACTTATCATGGTATCCTGTTTTAATGGAATCACAGAATCGTTAGCAAGTGAGTAGAGATTTAAATACAGCTAGAAACTTTGTAAGAAGAGAATTATAATATCATAGTGCCTTATTTTTGGGCACATGCACAATGCTATGTTAAAGGCTTTAGGCAGGCGTAAAATTTTAACGTTGTATGCAGGTGTAAGTTTGTTACAGCTTTTGTTTCTCTATTCTGAAACAGAAGAAGAGAGAGACGGGCAAAAAACATATATTGATTTTTGCAGGCTAGTAAACATAGTGAATGAATAGAGAGTGAGACTGGGGAGAGATGTGAGAAAGTAACAAGTTAAAATGTTTTGTCTCTCTCGGATTGCATGCTTTGTGCAAAGAAAACTATTTTAATTGAGAAAAATACAACTATTTTGCAGTCTATGTTTGTCATTCGTAAAACTATTGACACAATAGATGACCTTTGGCTTAAGAGGAAACAGGGTCTGGAATGGGGGATCCTGCTCCTGAATTTCCACTCCATTTTCACATTTTCCTCCGGCACTTTTTTCGTTGTTTTCTTGAATCCCATTTTTTTGTTTCCCAAGTACATTAGTTCAAAGTCTTTTGGAAGGAAAAAAGTGGAAGAAATGAAGAGGAAGAGAGGAAGGTTTTTTCCCCCTCTCTCCCTACTCCCATCCCCTCGATGTTTTTCCCTGCTCACTTTTCTTTGCACCTCCTCCAGTCGTCTTCAACAGGCTATTATCTGGGGCTAGAAGACTCGTCTGATTTAAGGGAACAGAGCTGAGACCATTGTACTGTTTCCCATATCTTAAGTTTAACTGATCAAATAATTTTGAGATTAATAATAGATGTAAAAAGTTTGAGCAATTACTGGTATGCTAGGACCACGAGCTCATTTCTGGCATCCAGTTGTAACAGTGGGGCTTTAGTCCGCTCGTCTGTTTGTAAATTATTATTACTGGACAGCCTGGGTCAATTTTTTTATTTATAGCTTGCTTTGATGGGAGACACCACTTAAACGCTCACCTGGTTGATTTGCATTTGCTGCTAGAACCTAAGATTTCTCGACAGACATTCAAATAATCCCACTTCCCATGCCCAAATTTTGGTGGATTACGCTTCCCAGATAGCAGTCTTATCCCTTTTCCTGACTGTCAAGATATTTTGGATTTTTCCGAATCATCTAGTGAACTTTGATCAAATCCCAGATCCCGTAAATACCCTTCCAGACCCTGGGAAAGCCATTACAGATCATGGGGGTGGGGTGGGGAGGGGAGGGTGGGGAGGGTGGGGAGGGTGGGGGTGGTTGTATTAGAAGGTCTTTGGTTTAGTCCACTGGGTCTTTGTTCTGGTCCATAGGTTTTCTTTTTAGTCCAAAGGTTCTCAGCTAAAAGGTCTTTGTTTCAGAAACATCCCTTGTATATTACTAACTTTTCTACTTGTTTCTTTTTTAAAAGAGGCATTGGCAAACATAGATGTCTGTGTTAAAGGTCAAGTTTTGCCTGATTCTGGAAAAGAAGCTCTAGTCGGCCATGTTGATCGACAACTCATAAATTACTTCAGTCCTCATAAGAAACAATGGTAAACTAGCTATATGTGTAGTTTTTTAATCTTAATGTGGCACTTACATGTACATGACTTGTAAAGTTTATTGTCTAAACATATTGGGCTTGTTATTAAAATAGAGTTTGGTAAGTGTTAAAACAGCATTGTAAGCCATTTTAAATCTGTTCAACCCTCACATCTTAACATTGTTTGCTGTTAACTAGGTCAAGAAGGCTTCCGGTCCAGACTAGAGAGCCATTTTTGTACTCAAAATATACCTGTTACTAGCAGATCAGTAGGCCCCTGAATCTCTTAAACCACAGTTAGAAAAGCATATTTGGTTTCATTTCTTCCAATAAAGAAATTTTTATCATGATTTTTAATTCATGGCAGACCTTTCTCTGTCAGCATTTTCCCTAGAAGTTTGGTTAGGGTGAGGTGTATTATGACTTGTTGTCATTCTGAAATCAGTAGAATTCTTCTACTGTGTAGCTCGTTCAGGAATAAGGGTAAAACCATAACAGTTTTGAAAATGGCAGGTCTCTGTCCACATACAACAAAAAAACTTCAAGGGAAGGCAAATTCACATTGCAGTAGATTCGTTCCATTTTAGGAAAATATTGATGTGTTGGAAAAGTTGGTGGGAAATCCATCAGCATGCAGTCAAGTGCCCTTGCATTTGCTAGCATTTGTGGTGGTGATTTAACATCTATGATGTACAGTAAATATCATATATTACTCAGTTATTGGAATACAGTCTATGTCAGTTGGGACTTTTTCAATGGTGAACAGATTACTTCTTTGCAAAAGCCAAAGATAGACTTTATGATATTGTTTTGTGAGATACTGAGTAATCACATAGTTTTCAAAACGACTCACCTGCTGTGAAGTAATGACTTCTAGAACAATTTAAAATTTGGGAAAAATAACTAGAGTGATAATTACATTTTGTTATATAGTCACACAATAAGCTAGGGTTGTTTCCTTTATTAGCGACTGTGTCAATCTGGATATAACCACTATGATTGCTTACATTTCATCACTGACCAATGGTGGCTGTAGATTTGTATTCAAGGTACATGTACATGTAAGATTCCTAAATAAAAATAATAATGCTTATACAGTGGAACCTTGATATAACGACTCTTTGTAACGAAGTCTCACAAAATCTAGTCGGATTGAGTTCGATTTTGTTCCATTTGTTCAATTGGTTTGATAAATCAAACTCAGAGCAAAATAGATGTTCGACCAGGTTTGATTACCGAATCTAATCAAACGATTGGTGTTTGATTGGGTTTGATTGAATTTTGTTTTGATTTTGTTCAATTAGATATGCCGGCTTTATTACATGGAGGTTCCACTGTATAAATTTAGTAAATTGTTTTGCATCAAGAATAATCCTTAACCCTTTAAGCCCCAATGTCCACATACAAATTCTCCAAACTGATCTCTATATATTTCCTTAAAGAATGAGTTGAGAGAATTTGACAAAAGATCAAAGCATTTTCTTTTAGGTGATCATTTTATTAATTCTGATAACCTATTCTCTTGACAATCTACGGATATCATTGGGAGAAAATTGATGTTGGTCACTATTGGGACTTAAAGGGTTAATAATAAAAGCTACATGGATGATCTTGAATAGTTCCTCAAATCCCTACAAACCTTGACTGTGAAATTACATAAAAGTAGACCACAGAATCATTATTTGAAATTGAGGTTAAAAAATAATACATGCTTTAGAACTATGAGTGATCATGAATCTTAATTTCATTCCTAAAGTGTTAATTGAGAAAAAAGAGTTCACTTTGCCCCCCATGGTAAGGAATAGATTTGGATTGAAAGCCTGTCAATAAAGTGATGTAATGAATTCTTTTAGTTTGTCTAAGTGTGCTCAACAAAAATCATGTTTTCTTGTTATCTTCCTCGGTATGATCAACAGGAAAGCATTTTGACTAAACAGGCAAAAGAAGAACGAACGAATCCTGTGCTACCTAAGCTTAAGGAATTTCTAGAAGGTAAAGAAATTTTGCACACCTGCCAACCTTGATCTGATGACCAAGAGCCTATTTAAAATAATTCACTGTTTTTTGTTGCTATTTGGTAGGTAAAAGGTTGTTTGCATGCCAGTCAGCTGTGAGAGACTTTGATGACATTTTAAGAACAGTTGGTGGTGAAAAGGAGCAACAAAGGGCAAGGTACAGTACTTAAATCAAATGATCATTGACAATAGTGAAGTTACTTTTTGAATCATGATTGTAAAGATTTCATGGTTGTTTGGCTTTTAGTTCAATTTAAGTTTGACTTAAAGAAGTGTACTTATATAGTGCAGCCTGTTTCAGGTGTTCAGATGGTGAGGACAGCTCAAAGATAAGTGGTTGGGAAAAAAGATAATGAAGGGGTGGGGTTAGAGAGGTCCCTCTTCCTTTCTTTTGCCTTGTCCCCTCCCCTTTTCATCTTTCGCCATTCTCAACTTTCTGAACGCCTGAAACAGGCTTAAGATAGTGGGGTAAGGTAAACATGTGCCATTTGTAACATAGTTTTTTTTGTAAGCGATCAAAGTTGGATACAAAAATTAGACTTGAAATGTTTTTTTGTTCAACTTTGAAGAAATTCCAAGAAAAAGACTATTAGAGGGCAAAAAGTCCTGGTGCTCTTATAGGTGACAAAAAACTGCTTCATACCCTTAGATGCGCTATTATTGTTATGGCCTTCCTGATGGGCTGTTAGCAAGGTTTATGAAAGTTTTGTTGAAGAAACCAAAAATTCATGTTTTTCTACACATGCATAGTTGAGTCTGTATTACACTCTTAACACTTTCTACCTTGTCACATAAATCTGTATTACCCTTTCAGAGCATCCATGGAAAAGAAGAAAAGAAAAATAGACGGCTATGAATAATTTAGTTAACAGTCTAACTTCACCAAAGCGGTTTCAATACTCTTACTTCTACTGTATTTATTTGTATTTTGTCTCAAGATATAGGCCTGTCCTGGTAAAATAATAATATTAATGATGATGATGATGATAAAGATAATAGTGATAATTATCATTATTATTTTATTATTATTATCTAGAGCACTGCTTGATCAAGTCACAGTTGTTGAAGATAATCCATCAGTAAGATCCACCTGTTTACAACCAAGTGCAAGTATTAAAGAGCGATCTAAGGTACGTTGAAGTGAAAATATTATTAGGGAAATTATCTTCTTTAGCTCCCCTGTTGATGCTCCAGTTTTTTTCATACATGTAGCTATATTTGTGTAGTCAGTGGGGAACTTATAAACACTTGGACAGAATTTGCTCTAACACAGATGGCTTTTTATTTAGTAAATTTTTGTACTCTGGCTATTTTAAAAAATTCTGGGGTTGAAAGTAATGCAAGGAGCAACCAGTGGGTATCTTTTCAACCAGGTGGTGACAGATGTGTGACTAAGTGGCTATATTTACTGTGGTGAGTAATGTGTGTACAATGTGTGTGCAATGTGAATAGTTAGTAATGGCTATACACTAGGTAAAATATTTGCTTAAAATCTGTATTTACCGTTACAATGGTAATCAAAAGGCATATGCAGTTCAGGCAAAAAAGAAAAAAAAGACACCTAAACTCCGCCTTAGGGCCACCTCGGTATAACGGTCACCTCGTTATTACGGCCACTTTTTTTGCTGCCTGGCAAAACGGCCATTCTTGTAAAAAAAAACCCTCGTTAATACGGTCACCCGTTAATGTGGCAAATTTTTTTTTCCCATTGGTGACCGTATTAACAGGGCTCCACTGTACTGCAAAAGAAGGTTTACATGAAGCATCACCCAAACGGCATTTTAAAGAATATTATGGTATTTTCCACTCTGGCCAATTACTTGTGGGGGGCAAGAGATGGTGCAGTGGCAAAAGTACTCGCCTCCCACCAATGTGGCACAGGTGTTGACACCATGTCTGAGATGAGTTTGTTGTTGATTCTCTCCCTTTACCCTGAGTGGTTTTTCTCTGTCCTTAAAAACCAGGAATGGTAAACGAAAAACCACTGCTAACATGTATGTGGATATGCTACCTCTAGATCATTATTTTATTCATTATTAAAAAAATTACCTATCTTATCAAACGTTTTGCTGTACGCATTCTAGATAATTTTTGGTACTGGAGATTCACTGAAAGCCATCACCGCCACAGCGAATGTTGGATTCACCAGAGCAGCTGCTAGTCAGGTAATCCCCAAAATTCCGTTTTAAACTTACAGCTGTATGATCAACTTAGTTGTAGTCTTGTAATATCCTGTTTGTTGTAAGAGGTGAAAAAATTTCATCTGAATGGTCAAAATTTAGTGGGTAACATTTGATAACGGGACTGTTGGTCTTTAATATTTTACGTGTAGAGTTATTTGGAAGCAGCAAGGAGGAAGCAAGGAGAATAATATTTATTTTTCTTCCTCCACAAGCAGTACTAAACTGTCTCTAAGTCATTAGCTGTTTTAACATTAACGTAAGTCAAGTAGAGAGAATAGATATCTAGCATTTACACAAGAAAACTCTAAGTTCTGCTTGGAAAATCAAATAGTTTGCGCCATTTCATTTAGGAATTATTCGAAGCTTTTGAAAATATGGGCTGTGATTTGCGGCAATGAAAAACACTTTTTCTACAGTTCTACAGTCCTCATCTTAAAACTCCCATTTGCTAGAGTTCCATTTCAAGTAACGCAGCCTGTTGCTTTCAAACACTGGCCCTTTTTAAGACAAAAACCATTTATTTCACTACCCAGATGGCAACGAGAGACCACATTTCCTCATTCTTATTTATTTCATTTTGCATTTAAAATTAAGGTTTGTTTTTAATCTGATTCGATAGAATTGGATTGTTTTAACCACACTGTTGAAATCCAGTCTTGAAACTTACCACCCTGTTCAATCCCTGTATAAGCCACATAAGGGCCCAGGAATTCCCCTTTATACCTGACGGTTGATTTCCATTGTTTTACCACAATAAAAAAAATCATGTCTTGCATTTTAGGGTGTTGAATTCAGTGTATTTCTTCACGAGTCACGGGCTTTGACTGAGTCCAAAGAATTTCAAGCATCTCCAATTTGTGAATCCGGACAAGACGTTACTTAACGACAGCTTACTGCTGACCAGTTTGATGAATCAGTTAGAGACCTACAATGTACATGTAGCTGTGTCATTGTACTGATATATTGCTTTTGATAAATGATGTGCAAAAATACAACCCACATAAAATGGTTCAATAAGAAGCCTTCTTCTTGGAAGCCTGATTTTTTCATGCAAATTGTTAAATTTTAATATACTTCAATTAATATTATTTATTAATAGTATTGATATTTAAGAGCATTGTACATTATTTAGAAATAAGAGAATAAAAATGGCAAAATCATATACACTATACTAGTACTCATATACAAGTTTTAGATAAAATGTAAAAACATTCATAAAAATAGTTCTTAATGCATGGGGATGCTGGGGTCAGGGTACAAATTCAGGCTCTCATAGCCAAGGGATTCTTTCTGATCCCCCATGTCCCATTCATAGTTTGCGCCAAACGGCCAGTTTTTACAGCGACTAAAGTTTGATTCCTATGGTGCGTCGATGATCAGTTAATCGCGGCAAGCCGGCAAGTTTTTGAATTATAAATTCCGTACGTAACATACCTCGGTGTGAGAGTCAGTAAAGCAGTGAAGAAAGTTTTTATTTTGCTCATTAGCTTTTAGACTACTAGTAGTGGTCGTTAATTCCGGTAATTTTTATCCGGCGAATACATGTGCCGCGCGAGGAAGTCACCTTCGTATTTCGCTTTTTATTTGAAACATAAAATGTAAGCAATTCTAAACGCGAGCGTTGTATAAACTGATGCAGCTCTGAGAACTCAGGCGAGAAAACTTGCCCTTGACGCGTGGGATCAATCTTTTTGCCCGGTTGATACAGTCAAACCTGTGTTAAGTGGTCACCCTTTGGGAATGGCTTACTGACTGCTTATTACAGGTTGACTGTTTAATACTAACCTGTGATCCAAACAAACAAGAAGGGCAGAACTCAAAGAAAGACCGCCTGATCCGGAAGGATACAGGGTTGACAAACGTGAGAGTTATTCAAGAAAATGAAGCTAGTCAAAAAGCGGAATATCTATCCCACGACAAATTGACCCTCATCTGTTTTTACCTCTTCTTGGGCCAAAAGAAAAAAGTTAAAAACAACTTGACGCCATACACAGTGTGACCTGTTGCACTAGTATGGTACGTCTTCTACTCTTCTCAAAGTGAGGTGAAGACAATAAAAAATAATTCGTTGGCACCTCGGAAAAGGTGACCGCGACCGCTTAGACCCGCTTAATCATTTCCGGGACTTTGTTGGGTGACCGCTTACTAGAGGGTGACCGCTTTTAAAATAGTTAATAGTCCGCTTAAAATACAGGTTTGACTGGTTGACAAAAAGAGTGGTACCCCTTTCACCTACTGTATAGGTACCTAGTTTAAAACTTTTGTATCCCTTTTACCCGGGCTTTTAATGGCTGTAAATTACAAAACTAGAACAATTTTTTTTCGGCTTTTTCACAGCCATAAAATGCGTCTGTTAGCCCTTTCAGGCCCGTTTATAGACCGAAATGATAGATTTCCCCCGGATTTTCATACTACTTTCCTTACAAGGTCCAGCTAGCCTGAATTTCATCCGATTACTTCGAGTCGTTATTACTCCCTCAGTTGTTGAGAGGAGAAAACGACTCGAAGCAATCGGATGAATTTCAGGCTAAGGTCCAGCCTCATTTGCAAAACATTTCAATGCTCGTACCAGTCTTTCTCAGTTGCTATCCTTCCCTCGTGCGATCTTCGCACTGATAGCGACTGTGGAAACGCGTATGTAAAAAAGGTTGCTTTTTTGCTTGCTTGGTTTTCTGATAGCACCGGTGTCAAGATTATCAGATAAACTGTGCACAATTGGTGGCATGCTACGAAAGGTAAACGTTTCTTATTGTTTTAGAATGTTTAGCTGCATGAAAACAACAGCTGTTTGTCCAAACTACATAAATATTTTTACGTCGCAACAACCAGTAAGATCGTTTCAACATTTCCACGTTAGCCTAAGCTCCCAATATTTAAAGATAACAAACTTGAGCGGTGCAGTGTATTTGGGAACACTGTACAATAATTTTTTTTCATCAGCTGAAGAAGGAAATCATCTGAAACGATTAAACCTTATCGATTCATTGAAGTCCCTCAGGTGACACCGGTTTCCACCGTTTTACGGCAGTTGGTCAGATTTCCTTACTGAATACATATTGTAAATAGTGATATAAAAACCTTTCCAAGTATAAATCTTTGGAAACTGGTTGGAGAAATGTTGCTTTTTCCAATTCCCGGGCGTTATGCCCCAGTCAAAGTAAATCCCCTCCCGCCCCATCCCGCAACGCGGGAAAGGGCGGGGGCTTGGAAAAGAACTCGAAAAAATGACCCAGTGATCCCACCCCCAGGGAAATTTTTCATTCCAATGCGTGTCCCTACCTACCAGTTAAAGTATATGCTTAGGTTCCAATTTTTATTTGGTGAAAATGTTTCAAACTGGTTTTGTTTTCAGTTTTTTATTGTGTTATAATTATTTTACTTATAATCTGAAACAAAGGGAAATGTGTGATTCCAGAAAATATCCATACCCCCTCCCCCCCACGGATGGTCAATGGAAATTCCTAGGGGGTGGGGGTGCTAAAGGGTAAAAATTTCTCAGGGGTACGGGGGTGCGAACAAGAAGAATTTTCCACAGGGTTGTAAAAGACACAATCGATCGTGCGAGACATACTTAAGTATATGTGGATTATTTTAAAACTAGAAATACGTGCATCGCATAACCTCGCGAAGCTTGGGGAGGAGCCCATAAGGGGTGGGAGGAAAGGAGAGAAATGAAGTAAATCATGTAACTGGGGAGGGTGGATCTAATATTGGAAGCTGATGTACTTTATCTCCTGTGGATTAAATTTGAACCTAGTGCTCTGGCTTTAAAAAGGATCTTCTGAGATGTAAATGGGGTTGCTGTTGTTAACGAATGCTGCATAGGTCCCATCCCCCCATGTTCACTCCATTTGACCCTCCTACATGTGTTTAATTACGGTCAAAAGGAAATGGGGGTGATAGTGGATAACTGCCGGCTAGTATTCAGTTGCATTTGCTTAATAAAAGCTCACCCTTAAGTGCAATAATTATTTGTGAAATGTGTCAGTAGAAGTGAGTGGATGGCAATCCTAGGAGATAATGCTGCAGTGAAAACAACTACTAAATGCTGCTATTTGGAGAAAAAATTTTATTGTTCGGCGAACTACAGCTATAAAAGTGTTTGCACTTTTTTTGGTACATAATCACACTTGACAACTATTGTTTGTAACAGTAAAGTGCCAACATAATCACTGAAATAGAAAATTACAAGTATAGCAATGTCATTGAGGATGCAGTTCATGAGAATTACTAAAGTGATCATGATTTATGATTATTGTATGTGTGGGCATTCACCTTAATGAACTGAATCCTTGTAAAAAGTACCAATTTTTTACCAGTTAGGCAAGTGTTCATAGTTATTCGTGTACATGCATAAGAAACAAATCCCTATGCAAGAGTGAATTTGTATGAAATGTCCACAAACAAGTTATGTTGAAGGTCATCAGTTTCTCCATTAGTCTCCATTCTAAACATGCATGAGCTTGTTGAGACAGTGCCAGAGCCATAGATTTTTAATTTCCCAGACTGAGACGAGGCAAATGAACACTTTCCCCTGTATTACACACATTTCTGGTGAATGTAAAGCTAAGTGCAGGATGGATTGATCTTATGGAAAACCATACATATTGCATGTCGTTTAATTTCTTGAAACAATCTTAATCTGCAAATGGAACAAATGTTTTATTTCTGTGAATATGTCACCTCTGTCTGACTTCTTTGAAAGAGTGAAATTTTATGAGTGACCTGTTAAATTTTCCCCAACAGTGAAAGGAATTAACGTTCCTGGCATGGCAACCATGTGACACACTGATATTCTGAGGATATCCGAAATACTATGTTATTTTCGAATAATAGAGGAACAAAAATACAGGAGGCCAGCAATAACAAATTTTTGTCATGTTTGACTTAAAAGACACAGCTGGGTTTATGTATAAGGCTTCTATACATACATTTATTTTACTTGTGAAGGAAATTGAATAAAAATTGTAAGCTTAAACGAAAAATTTTGCCCAGTAAGGATTTTGTTTACAAAATGTAACGCTTCTCTACATGTCACACATTATAGGTGTTGTAAACTGTTCATTGTAAAATAAAGCTTACTGTAAAATGGTACAGTCCGTGGCAAAGATACTCCTTGTGTCGATTTTACAGATGGTGTAATTCTTGCTTCCTTTCGTTGCATCGAAGAAGATAATTTTGACTGTAAACTTGCCTCTCCTTGCGAATGCTATTGACCGAATACTGAAACGTTGGCAGTCGGTGTTCCCTCTCTTCGTCGGCTTCTTTTGCAGTGTAACTGTAGTATTTTGTTGATAACTCTTTACATATTTGTGGTCGCTGTATAACCTCTGTCTCTAGTTGACAGTGTTTGCCTTTGCTGTGCCGTTACTCGTGCTGAATTGAAAGTCGACGTCCTCGCTCTTGCGGAGTTTTGTTTGTAAATCTTTCCCAGCGAGGATTTCCAGCCACTTGTTGAATCCACCGTTGTTGAGTTTGCTGTTCTGTTTTATTTACCTGAGATATTGGGTGCTGACTCACCGACCGTAAACATTGTTATAATTCACAGATGAAAAAACCCGCGTCTTCAAGACGGAAGACCCAGAGCTTTGTCGTCCATGGCAATCGGTTGCCTGGAAACCCATAGTGCACTCTGACGTCACTACTGGATGATGTCAAGGCGGACACCAACCAAACTCGATAGATTTATAGCCAAGAGGAAATCACGCTGGCCTTGCGATGCTTGAGTGATACACGTGCGCTTCACGCGCGCTTCGCGAGCGACGAGATTATAAACCTCGCGGCTCGGCGCTCCGCGCCTCGCTTCGCGAGGAATAATAAAAATTAGAAGTAGATGCCCTTTCGAGAAAAAAAACCTTCAAGATGTTTGTCTCAAACGTCATCTTCTTTGTTAGGAGTTCACTATCATCTCTGGTCTAACAATTGCTCCACAAGCAAGCTCTAACAGTTTGTTCTAACGCTCTAATGGATTGCTATTAAGATCTAACGGTTGATTCTAAA